TTCTCCCTGTATCCCTTACTGGGAATACAATTGCTAGAGAAATGCAGTTATCTTTCAGTAGTCACATGGGCGTTATTAGTGATCAATTTTGAATACAGTCCTGACCCAGCATATAGCATGTCCTCTCACATTGCCCAAGCCAGAAAAAATTCCATACTTCAGACTATTTCTACATTAAGATTATTTATATCTCTGCTTTCTCTCCCTTGCTCCCCTACAACTATTTTAGTCAAACCCCCTTTTCTAAAAAAAGATGCCAATAAGGGGGAAACTGAGGACTCATTTCTGATTCTCTAAGTCAACGGGATGTCTTAGAGATGGGAATTATCTGGAATTCATATTCTGAAACAGCTCAACCTAACCTCATTCACTTAGACCAATGTTGAGTCACTCCACACTGAATTAATGTTTTAAAATATTAAATAAGTATTCCCATATTGATATAACAACCTGTGCGAGGTTCTCAGTGTTGCCAAGTATATGTCCTTAGGGAGGGGCTGCTGGAATAATTTGATAAGAATGAATTCCAGTGGCATAACAATTGTTCATATAAAGTTGGGTTTTTCTAAAGCACTTGAAAGAATTTTGTTTTTTAAGTACGTGAAATACAGCCCTAGCATTTGGGTTTATTATATTCCCTTGCTAAACTACCTCCTTTGCCGGTGAATGATGGAAAGAGAAGCTCCAAGGCAGACCATGCTGGGATTTTGATACCTTCCAAATTGGCAAGGTGTAAACTCATGTTTTCCTAAGTTGAAAATTCGCCAGAATTTGAGGAACCCCCTTGGAGGTTAAAAGACCTGACCTGTGACTATGACTTCCTGGGACAATTGCGATGCTAGAGGCATTCTGGCCTCTCCCTGCCTCAATCGCTGAACCGCTTTACCTGTCCTGTGACTTGCAGTTAACCCACCTGTGACCGCTGTTGACAAGAATAACCCCAAGTACACAGGGAACGTTTTCACCCCACGCTTTGCCACAGCCTTGACCTCAGCAACCCTGAACCAGCCCCTCTGGCTCAACATGAACTATCCACCTCCTCCGGTGTTCCCAAATCCCTCCAACTTCCCGCAGTATCAGGTGAGTGGGCCCTAGCTCTCCTGTGGCCATCATGGGGGTTGTGGCGTGAGTGAGGTGTGGCTTGCAGAGGGCCTGTTTCACAGGGAGCCTTTAGACTCCCTTGAATGCCTGCCCTGTACTCCAGAGGCTTCACTGGGACTGCGGGAGGGCACTATCAACATGGTAGCTTGTCAGTTATTTTTTTCACTGTGGCCATATCAGACCTACCACTTGGTACCTGCACATACACACACGCACGCATGCATATATGGTTCTACCTTGCCATGGTCTGAATTCCAGTTCACTCTGTTGTCTGTTCCAGAGGTGCATTGCTACTCTCGGCTGGTTAAGTGCTTGGGCTCCCAGGATAGGATGATGGCACAGTCCTTGTTTCCCACCTCCTTCCTGTGACTTCCTTTAAAGTTGGATGACATACATCCTAGATGACTTGGGACAGTCCCAGTTTAGGTCTTTTGTCCCATAACAATTATTAATGGCATTGCCTTTCACTCTCAAGTGTCCTGATTTGGATGACAAATTAGTCGTCCCTGCCTATCCGTGATTCTGCATCTGTGAATTTAACCAACCTCAGATCAAAAATATTTTTAAAAAATTAAAAATAACAATGGAAAAAAATAAAAAATTATACAAATAGGAAAACAATACAGTATAACAACTGTTTGCATGGCATTTCCGTTGTATTAGGTATTACAAGTAATCTAGAGATGATGTAAAGTGTACAGGAGGGAGGATGTGCGTGGGTTGCTTGCAAATACAACGCTATTTTAAACCAGGGACTTGAGCATCTGTGGATTTTGGTATCCACAGGATGGGGCTGGGGGCCTGGAACCAACCCTCTGAGGACACCAAGGGATGACTGTATACAGCCACCTTATTTAAACTACATCCAAGCAGTCTGAGCTGGTACCAGCTGGAGGCTTGGCATACATTCTTGGTCTTGGGCTCACAGCTAAAAGGGAATTAGTGGCCAGACACAAAGACACGGTGAAACGCTTGTAGCAGGGCTGGAAATTTTACTCACAGAACTTATTTATGCAGGGAAAATGCAGTTTCTTTATTTTGTTGATTTAACTTAATATCCCTTAAGACCTACCGCCTACTGGGTAGAAGGAGGGAAAAATTAAATAAATGTCCACTCTGGTTTAAAGCTTAGTCCAATCCAATAACTTAAATCGTCCCTTTAGATAGTGCTCAGGTATTTTTTTTTTCAGTAAAGACATTCAGAATCCAAGATTTCTCCGTCTTCTGTTCCCCTAGCTGGCTGCTCTCCAGAATGGCGCGCAGTTGTGTGGGGAAAGGCGGGAGCTCAAACTTGCACGTCCAGGGTCCTGGCAATCTGCTGCCCCAGCCTAGTCTGGCAAAGCCGGGACTAAGGAAGCAGAGAAGGAAATAACTTCCCACACTCGGCTTGTCGTGCCTCTGTGTCCCTTCCCCTCTTGCCACCCCTTGGGGCCCTAGGAACATCCTTTCCAGCAGAGCAGCGAGGCGTATGGCGTAGGTCCTATGCGGAGGGGTCCTCTCTAGTCTATATATAGACTCTCTGAGCTGATCCACCAGGCTTAGCTACTGAATTGTAAAGGAATTTTAGCAAAGTCTCTCTCTCTCTGTTTAGTTTTCAGGTCTTTTGTTTGTTTGCTAAAGAAAACAAGTACCCAGCCCTTTCCCATGCTTTCTCACGCCTTCTGTCCCTGGGTGATCTAAGGGGGACATTAGAGCGTATCAGTTTTATATTAGTACTATGTTATCCACGCACAGCAGTCTGGGGAGAAATGTCCTGTTCGTTGATTCACCGACTCCTTCGCTGCTATGCTTCTGCCCTTGCGTTTTTGTGTTTGCTTATTCACTATTTATTTATTCACCCACTCATGGATTTACTCATTTCTATTTATCTATTTACCATTCATTTAAGTAATTTAAGAAACCTCTGCTCCACACTTACTATAGGTTGACCATTGTGCTAGGTGAGGGGATCCACAGATGACTAACGCTGGGGTGGTGGCGTACGCCTGTACTCCCAGCTGCTGGGGAGGCTGAGTAGGAGGATTGCTTGAGCCCAGGAGTTCAAGTCCAACTTGGGCAACGTGGTAAGACCCTCTCATCCCCCTCAGCCCTCCAAAAAAGATAAATAAGAAAGAAGTTTGGAGTCTAATGCAAGTTCAGGTATAAATCAGAGACCAGCTGTATGCACTTCCAACTCTGAGAGAGAAACAATTGCCTAATTTTATTTAGTGTAAACTGATTCACTCTAAAATGCACTCACAGAGCTCACCACGTAAAGCTAATTTGCAGTGGTTTGCTTTATTAAGTAGGGATAGCATCTCTTTGCTGTGTTGATTTCTTCTGACTCGGCTTTTGGGAGTGAGTGAGATTTGGGCCTATTATTTCCTGAGCATGAAGGTCCTCTGTCTTCAGACACGCTGATGTTTACGTTGGGGGCCGACTAGGTTCCCGGGCTTCCAGGCAGAAGCAGTGGAAGAACCCTGGCTGGTAGGGCCCTCTGGGTTCTACGAGGCAGTTTAGGCCTGGAACGGGCCCAGCTGGAGTTGGCTGTAGACGGCGTTGGCCCTCCAGGTGGTAAGGAAGGACAACATAATTTTCCTTGTCTGAACTTCGCATGGTCTCGTAGTGCTGCCCAGCTCCAAGGCAGCTGATCACAGGATCTGAGGTCATAGAAAGGAGGCGGGTGTTGAAATCAGTAGACTTGGGTTTAAAGGTTCTGCTACTTCCAAGCTGGGCCTTGGGCAAGTTAGTTAACTGCTCTGAGCCTGGCTTCCTCGTTTGCGAAATGGGTTTGTAGTAATTACAGCAGCATATGCTGATTCAGTTGTGAGGATTAATTGAGTCCACGGATGGGAAGGAACTCTGTAAAATTGAAACTGTGATAGAAATGTTGGTCTTTATTATTATTCAGCCCCGATCTTGCAATGAAATGGGGTCAGGGAGCTCCACAGACCTTGAGGGGACAGAGAGGAGAAATGGGGAACAGTCTCTCCTGGTCTCTTCCCTGCTTAGTGTGAGGAATAAAGATGAGGTTCCAAATTCAATTTTCTCAGAGACCTGGGTGGAAGGACTCAAAGATGTGGAAGACAACGTCCCCAACCCTGAGGAGCTTCAGAGGCCCCTGGGCTGCTTGGCGTAAAGGGACTCTGCTCCCAATTAGGGAGGGAGGGTGTTTGGGAAGAGGCTGTGGCCTCCAGCAAAGAGTGAACGCTTGTTTACCTTTGCTTGTGATTTTACAAAATTGCAATTCTAACAACTAGAAATGCCCTTAAAGTCATGCAATGTTGGTCATACTAATGAATGTGGTGCCGTCTCCTGAAAATCCGCCCCAGGACCGAGAAGGACCGGGAAGCTGTTTGTCTCCCATAGACCCTCGAGCAGCCCAGCACAGGCAGATGTAGGGGTGATGGAGCCTGCAGTTCTTTGGCCTGGGGAAGTCAGCTGTGGAAGGCAGAGTGATAATGGGGTTGAGAGGGGGTGAGACAGAAGAGAGACACTTAGCAACCTGCCCAGTGGCCTTGGAGTCACTGAGGGCTGGGAGCAGGCAAGGCAACCCCGTCAGTCTGACTTCCCCGTCCAGGTTCAAGCCAAGGCTGGGGTTGTAGGGACCAGTAATGGAGAGAGGCCATCCAGGCTGCAGGGCTTGGAGTCGAGGGAGCAGGTGAGCTGGTTCCAGGTGAAGGGTTGGTGGAAGTGGGGGTATCCCATGCACAGGAGCAGAGAGCAAGGAGGAGCTCTGAGAAGATGTGTGCTCTTGGGGACCTGGAGAGCTGGGAGACTTCCCCGCAGACTCCATCTCAGGAATGCCACAGGCTGTGAGGAAATCCTCAAGGGTACAGTGTCAGCCATCAACACGTTGATCATTGACACGAGCTGAGCCGAGAATGGAGGCAGCATCTCAGGTGCGCAATCCTCTGAGAAGATGTCCTGGGCTGAGTGGTGCCGCATCCTAAGGGGTGACTCTGGATTGGCAGGTAGAGGCAGAGTCCGAGACTGGAGGGGTCAGCCCATGACCCCTTCCACAGCAGCAGTTCTGTGTGTGTGTGTGTGTATGTGTGTGTGTCTATGTATGGACACGTGGACACCCCAAGGACACCCCAAGGCCACCCTGGACAGAACTGTGAATGAAATGTCCATCTCCCACCTGGCTGGGCTGGACATTTCAAGGGAGGGGGCAGTGAGAGACAATAAACACATCCAACCTGTACTATGTGCTGGGCACTATTCTAAGGTCTTTAGACGCATTAACTCATTTATCCTCACACTAACCCTCACCATAAGCTACAGACACAGCGTATGCATGGCCGTGTAGACACACAGCAGCAGAAACCTGAACTAACGCACCTGGCTTCACGGCCTCATATTTATATGTAGAAACACACAGCTACATAGGCACAAATGCCAACACCCATGCACATGTACTTAAATAACCATGGATGCAAGCCCACCCACATACACACGCAGGTGTACATGGTCACCTGTGTCTTACGGCGGGAATGGAGTTTGGGGACAGGCATTCAGAAAAGGTATGTAGACAGCAACAAAGATAACGTGGCCACCTTCACAGGCTTTGCAGGCCTAAACACACATCATTTCATAGACAAGAACAAAGAAGCCCAGAGAGGTGAAGAGACTTGCCCAAAGTCACACAGCCACTCGGGTGCAGACCTGGGATTCAAGAGGCAGCCAGACTCCTGAAGCTCTTATCCTACACACTCCAGCAGGCTGTGAAGCCTGCTAAAGAGGCTTCCCAAGTGGCCTGATTGTGCTTGTCCTGTCTGATTCCAGTGGCCTCAGGCAGCCATGGGTCTGGCCAGCAGCGTGAGGGGACGGACTCAGCCCTGTCTGGAGGTCCAGGCATGCAGCGGAGGCTGAAATGAGTGCCTGCTGCTCTCTGCAGGGGAGCCCTTTGCCTGGCTGCACTGAGCCTCTCCCTTTCTCTCCAGGGCGTGTACCCGCCACGGGCAGCGGCAAGGATGCCCTATCAGCAGCCTGTGCACCCCCCGATGGGGTGTTACTCCCGACAGGTGAGTAGGCGACCTCCCCTCCTCTGTCCCAGCTCCATGAAGGCCTTTGGGAGCATCAAAGGGAGGATCTGCTCCCTAGTCTTTGTCCAGCTGGTCACCCCTCCATACTTTCGGGTCCACCATTGGCTCCAGAGTGCAGACACACATCCCAATCTGCTCGCAGAAAACACAAACCGCCGTCCCTATGTGTTAACAGCTGGCACTTAACAGAGCCCTTCCTGTGTGCCAGGTCCTCCTCTACAGGCTTTGACTGTGCTAATTTAATCTTTGCAACCTCCCTGGCAGGTAGGTTATAAATAGGGAAACTAAGTACAGGGAGATTAAGTAACTTGACCAGGGTTATAAAGGTAACATACAAGAGGCAGCAAATAGCCTCAGGGACACTGAACGTTTATTTTTCCACTCTGGGGCCTAGAGGTCGGCTGAGTTTGGCTGTGGGTCAGGTTGAGGGGTGTTCCTCGTGTCTCCCCTTCTGGGTTTGTGCTGAAGATCCAGTAGACTGTCGTTCTTCCCACGGTGGGTGGCAGGGGCACCAGAGGGCAAGCGGAAACACACAAAGCCTCTGAAAGCCTCAGCTCAGAACTGGTCCGTGGTAAGCAACTTCTACCCACCTCCCACCGGCCAAAGCGAATCACATGGCTTTGCACAGCATTGGTGGGGCTGGGAAGTCAGATTCCTCCCATATAGGGTTGCCAGTAAAATACAGAACACCCAGTTAAATTTGAATTTCAGATAAACAAGGAAAACATTTTTTAGTATAAGTATATCCCAAATACTCCATGGGATATTCTTGCGCTAAAAAAATTACCTTTCGAAATTCGAATTGAACTGGCTGTCCTGTATTTTTATTTGCTAAATCTGGCAACACTACTTACATGGGTGTGTGGGATAAATATCTGCGGGACGGTGGCAGAACGGCAGAATTGGGGTTTGATCTTGGGCTGGCTGGCGCTCCAATCACCATGCTTTATCGGATCTTGTACACAGATACACAAAAATACAGTATCAAAATACAGAAATACACACACACACACACACACACACACACACACACAGGCAAACAGAAACACAGATATAGTTATACACATGCCACCAAGCTGCAGGAGATGCAGAAACAGTTGACAGACACTGAGTCTTGGGGCGGGGATGGGGTGTGAGGAAAGGAACTCAGAATGGGGGCATAGAGGGCACCAAAGACCAACCTGCCGCGTCACTAAACTGGCCTTGCACCCTCCACAGGCAGACAGACACCCCCACATTCCAGCTCATGACCCCGCGGCCACTCCTCTCTCCCCAGGGAGCCCCACCCTTTCCCTGCAAACTACTGCACTTCTGACCTGAAAGATGTTAGAACGTTCCAGAGGGTAGGGAAGTGCCCTGGGTGTGGGCTACTTTGTCACCCAGGCAAGGACTGCTTTTTCAGTAGCAGGGGCTCTTTGCATCCTGAGCTGAAGTTGGGATGAGCGATGGTCTGGGTCACGAGGCCTCAGCCTCATCACCTCCACCCCCTGAAGGGACCACATCCGCTGGCTCCAAAGAGGATCTTTTTAGATAACTACATGCATATGCATGTGTGTGTGCATGTATTTGAATAAAGTAATATGGAAACATGGTAAAAAATTTAAAAGCTTAGAGACAATCGCTGTTTACTGGTCTCTTACATATCCTTCTCGTGATGTCTATTTATATAAACATTTTTATACAAATGGGGCATTCTGGGCACACTCTCCTATTGCTTTTGTCAGTGAGGAGTATATTTGGAGATGGTTCCGGAGCAGGATGCAAAGCTGTATTTTATGGTTTTTATCGGTTACATGGAATCAGGGGCACATTTTTGAACAAGGCTACATGAGTTCTAGGACCTGCGTGTTCTATTTCAGTTCCTTCCCACCATGTAGACCAGGGGTATCTTCTGCCATGCTGACCCACAAGGGTCTGTCCTGGAAAGGCGCCTTCCCGGGCCCTCTCTGTGAGCTCTCGGTACGTTCTGACCTTTAGCTCATCATCTTGGGGCTTGGTGCCCGCGTCCAGCATCACTAGGCCCTCCATCTCTCCTGGGGGGACCACGGAAGGCCCAGGAGGGGGAGGGCTCAGGCTTCCAGAGAGGGCACAGCAGAGAGACACTGGTCCGGGGGACAGGCTCTGGGCTCGCTCTGCTGGGGTTCTGAGCACAACCCAGGCACTGCAAACATTAGCAAGTCACCTGACTTCTCTGAGTTTCAGACTCCTCATCTCCAAAATGGGTATGGTAATGGTCCCACTTCACAGGGCTTTATGGAGTTTTAATGGGAGAATCCATGTGAAAGGCCCGGCGCACCCATGCGCTCAGTAAGTGCCGGCCTGTGTGGGCTTTTTATTAGATAAAGGCACGCAGGTGAGAGCCGGCTGACGAGGTGCCATCTCCTGAGCACTTGGACTCTAGACTCTTGCTGTCAAAGTGGAAATCCAGAAGCTTCCCCAGGGTTGACAGAAATGCCCCTCAGCACATCAGAGGGGCGACGTCAGCTCCCTGTGAGAAAGGTCTTTGTGACAGTCAGAGCCGTCAGCAGTGGGACACAGTGCTCATGTTGCAACGAGCGCCCCGCAGTTTTAGCTATTCGAGCAGCCACTCAGTGGTCTCTTCTTTCCTCCCTCATTCCTTCCCTCCTTCCCTCTTCCCTTCCCTCTTTCTTTCTCTCTTGCATTCGTTCATTTAGTGTATTTCCATGGAGCAGCCGCCGTGTGCCAGGCACTGTCTCAGGTCTGGGGAGAGAACAGTAAACGAGACAGATGAGGTGCCTGCCTTGTCAGGGGCAAGACAGAGGGAGCCCCAGTTCTTGGTGGGAGTTGGTTCCTGGTGGGCTCAGAAACCCCACTGAATTCCTGCATTTCCCTAGGGTTTGAGCTTTCGCCCTTCCTCCTACACTCACACTGTGCACTACAGAAGTCATATGTGGCTATTTAAATTTAAATTAATTACAATTAAGTAAAATTGAAAATTCAGTTCCTCATTCACACTATCCACATTCAAGTGCTCAATAGCCACGTGTGGCTGGTGGCTGCCACACTGAGCTGTGCAGATACAGGACATTGCTGCCGTCACAGGAATTTCCACTGGGAAGGGTTGTCTTGGACTTGGAATCTGTTGAGATCCTGATATAAAAGCTGGAGCCATGTTGATCACAACAGCTTTTTTTGTGGTAATAAAATCCTTGAGAATGAACAAGGGGCTTGGGGATGCTTATTGACAGAGGGAAAGCTGGGGAGGCAGGGAAGAGAATGAAAACAATATTTATTTGCTATTTATTATGTGCCTGTCTCTTTACTTAAAACGACTGACTCGTTCTCCACACAATGTATATAGCGTTTGCCCATTTTACAGATGACAAAACTGAGGATTAGTTGCCAGGTTCACTACAGAAGCTGAGCCCTGTGCTTTTTGCTGTTCCATGTGCCCTTTATGTACATCACAGTGACTGAGGGGCACAGGTGGCAGCTGGGGTCAAGTTTAGGGCTAAGGAATGGTGACCTTGCCCCTGTCTCCTCTCTGACCTGCAGGTGACGCCGTATAACCCACAGCAGATGGGACAGCAGATTTTCCGCTCTTCCTACACCCCCCTGCTAAGCTACATCCCCTTCGTCCAGCCCAACTATCCGTACCCTCAGAGGACACCCCCAAAGATGTCTGCCAATCCCCGAGACCCTTCCCCCATGGCAGGGGACGGGCCGCAGTACCTCTTCCCGCCGGCCTATGGGTGAGTTCTCGGCCCACACTGGAAGCCTGACAGTAGCCAGAAAGCTGCCAGAGGGGGAGGCAAGCGGGGTGGGCTTCCTTGTGCTTTCTTGGGACATGCGTCCCATGGTTGTGGGGAGGGACGGGCCTTGTACCTGTGGCCAGTGGCTGTGTGGATCCTGGAGGGACCTGGTGGGGAGGTGAGCAGGATCTGGGGCCCCTTTTGTCAGTCAATTTTGGGGCTACATCCTTCCAGTCTGGTTGCAGAAATGGTAGCAGGCGGACACTCCACTCCATTGGTGGGGCAGGTGGTAGAGCCACACTTGCTTTACCTGTGAGCTTGGGATATAGCAGGACAAGGCCAGGGAATCTTCTGAGAGCTCTCCCCAATTCCAGCACCCCCAGCTCCTTGCCAGGCTAATCTCCTGAACATCCCAGTGACTTGGGGACAGGCCCTGCTGAAGGGCCTTCCACTGCTCACCGGGGCTGCTCACGCCTTTCCACTGAGCACCCCAGCCGGCAGAGGTGAGGGCCTCTGTGTCCTGCGTGGTCTGAGGGCTCAGCAGCGGACAGCCAACACAAACTCCACATGTGAGCTGAAAATTGCACTCAAATTTTGCACGCTGTTGAGTGATAAATTTGTGTTTGTTTTAACATAACAACAAATAACCACTCATTCCCACCCGCCAAACCTTCAGCCAGTGTTGGTGCTCCAAGCGGCAGGTGGTGCCCTGTCACCGCTGTGAATCCCAGTCTCCCAGGCACACCCTGGGGACTGGCGGCCCCAACTTGAGAAACTCAGTTTACAGGATTAGGGCCAAACTCCTCAATCTGACATTGATTCCCATCCGCCCACCTTCCCGTCACAGAACCTTCACTGCGGTGCCAGCCACGGGTCCCCAAACTCCCATCCTTTCAATCAGTATTTTCCCCAAATATCTTGTTAAAGGGGATAAATGCTAGAAAGTGGCTTCTGTAGTCAGATCCATTTGGGAAAAGCTGTGAGAAACAAAGATAAACAGATTTCTTAACTGTTGGAATTCTCCAATCATTTAATTTCCTAGGGTGTGTGGAGAATATTCAAGAAGGTGGTAGACAGTGTTATTTGAACATGAAATCCACACCCTTTTTATTCGTTTTTCCTTTCCTCCCTCCCTCCCTCCCTCTTTCTTCCTTTGTCTTGTAGAGCACATCATGGTGTGCTCCACCCAACACAGACTGGGGGCACTGTGCTAATTCACGTAGTGCATTTGAATTTAGCCTGCGGGGAGGACCACACTTCCTCCCTTCGGAAAGCTGAGAGCAGATGCGATGTTGGCACAGTAATGTTAGTGCCCTGGCAAAGCGAAGACTATCAGAGTGGCCACGAGGACAGAGGAGGGTCCCGGCGGCAGGGAGGCTCCAGCCAGCAGCCGTGGGAGGAGGCGTTCCAGGCTCTAGGAGCAAGGTCCCTGATGGGAGATGCATAGCAGGCTGGAGGCCTGGGGAGAGAAGGCATCTGGCTGAAGTATTATTAAATAGATTTGTCCCTGAAAAAGGTGGAAAATAGGATTGGAAAAAGAAGGTGGGGATTGGATTCTGAAAGGCTTTGGGCTGCTGGGCCTGGGAGTCCAGTGCAGATTCGTGCATATCCGGGTGAATTGACCAGCTGGAGGGGAGAGAAACGGGAGGCAAGCGAGGGTGTAGCCTGGAGGTGAGACCAGGGATCCAGACACACAGCCTGAGGCCGGCACGGTTCCTACATTCCATGCTGTGACTCTGGGCTATGGGAAGAGAGGTGAGTTACAGCAGCTAGAACTGGCTGTCCTGGGAGGGAGGGTGGTCCCAAGTCTCATAGGTCTGCAGAGGGGGAGCAGGGGGTAGGGGGAGTGGGCTGGAGACTGAGGAAGGCGCAGTTGGAGAAGGGGAGACAGCCCGCGTGAGCTGGAGGCAGTGGAGGCAGAGAGGACAGTGCCGAGGAAAAGTGGCAGTCACGGGGTGGATCGGGAGGACCAGGCAGTGAGGTCCGAAGAGCGATGCAAGGGGCGCGATCTGTTCACTCGGACATTGACTGAGCACCTTCGATGCGCCCGGCACTGCTGCAGGCACTGGCGATGCGGGAGTCAAGAAGGCAAAGTTGTTCCTTCTCTCAAGGAGCTTTCATTCTAGGGGAGAAACAGGCAATAGGAGATAAGCAAGGGCACATGGCCAGGTGCTAGGGGTAAGGGGAGAGAGGATCGAGGGACGGCTCGCGCCAGGATCCAAATGCAATGAGAGCATGAGCTGTGTGTGTGTGTGTGTGTGTGTGTGTGTGTGTGTGTGTGTGTGTGTGAGGATCAGCACTCCGGGCAGAGAGAACGGAAAGCGCAGCGGCTCTGCAACGGGAGCACGTGGCTGGAGCGCAATGAGCGGGAAAGAGTGGGTGGAATTGCAATCAGAGAGAGGAGGCCAGGGTCAGACGGCCCCGGCCCAGCGGGCATGGTAAGGAGCAGTGGAAGCCTTTTAAACCGGTGAGGACACGTTCTAGTTTTCTGTGTCAAACAGACCATGTTGGCCAGTGTCTGAGGAACCACCATGAGGTAAGAGCTGATGGCAGGAGCTACAGTTGACCGAGCAAGGGGTGCTGGTGGCACAGACGAGGGCAGTGACCATGGGGAGATGGGCGAAAAGATCTGGGATGTTAGTTTCTTTGGGAGAATTGATGGGACTTGATGGTGGCTGGGTGTGGAATGAGGAAAGGAAGAGTCAAGCACGATTCCTTAGTTTTTGACCTGAGCAGCTGGAGGAGTGGCAGTGCTGAAATGCCAAGGTCAAGGTGGATCAGAGTTCAGTCTTGGACATGTGAAGTTTGAGGTGCTTACTAAGCAGATGAGTGGAGCCGCTGACAGGCAGGTGGATGTGGGAGTCTGGAGCCCAGGGGAAAGGTCGGGGCTGGTTTTCAATTTGGGAGCCATTAGCATAGAGATGATGCTCGTAGGCATGTGATGCGGTGGGATGAGATGCCCACGGACGGCGTGTATGGAGGAGAGAAGATGCCCCAGGGCTGCGTCTTGGGGCACCAGCGTGTAGAGAGGCTGGGAAGATGTGGAGGAACCAGCAGGGCTCTAAGAGTGGGAGGGAAGATGGGAGAGTGTGGAGTACAGGGAGCCAGGTGAGGAAGGCACCTCCTGGAGGCGAGAGGAAGGGATCACAGAGCGATGAAAAGAGGACCCTGCATGGCAGGGTGGGACACAGAGAGCACTGCTGGATGCAGAGAGCACTGAGCACAGCGGTGGCAGTGGTGGCTTACCCAGGTGCTAGATGCAGCCAGATGGAGCTGGGGCTGCACTGGCCAGGGGAGGGGGTGTGGGCCTCAGCGGAGAGTTTAGTCTGGGAAACAGGGAGGGTCAGTAGACAAAGAGGAATCAGGAGACTAAACTATGTGATGGGGAGAGGAAGGAAGGAGCAGGTGGCTTCCAAGTCCTCAGGGAAGGAGGAGGAGAGCCCTCCCCGCCCTCTGCCAAGACAACTTGCGTACATTCAGCAGGGTGGGATAACCATATGATTTATCTTCCAAGCAATAATAAATCTGAGCGTTAAAAGGAGCACAAAAAATAATTACACTGGAAGTACCAGCATAGAGGCTGGCCCAGGCAAACCAGGACATGTTCACCATTCCCAAGAGGCAGCTCAAGCTCCTCCCCCTCCAGGAAGCCTTCCTTGATAACTCCAGCCCATGCAGATTGCACCTTTCCCAGCCCTCTAGTGTATGTCCTATCCAGACCATGCCCTTGGCAGTTGATCCAATCGGAAGTTTTCAACCTGGAGGAGCTAGATGCATGTGTAGCAATCAGATGCGAGGTGTGTCATGAGTAATTTGTTCCTGATAATTGTTAAATACTGAAGTATGGGTTATGGCCTTTATTTTATAAATCAGAGTGGAACCCAGGGTATCCCTATGCTAACATCACTTTCAACCATTTATCTTCCAATATGATTTTTGGAAGAGAGTAAAAGAGGTCAGGTTACCGCTGGCATTAGTTGCTTATTAAGCACCTACCTCACGCCAGGTCCTGGGCTGGGAGCTGGGGGTAAAATGATGAATAGTTCGTGTAATATCTCTGCTCTCGTGGAACTTATTTTAGTGAGAAGGGAATGAAACACACCCCAAAGCCTAGCTTGTCCATAGTGGCTCACCGTGAGCAACAGATGCTGTCACCAGCTGAGGCTTTACAAATTAGTGCGGCGGTCTGTTCCCATTGCTTCTCCCCTCCCCTGTCCCCCCTCTTTGTTTCATCCATTCATGGGAAGGTGCCGTGAACGTGAATCTCTTTTGTAACATGCATCTGCCCGGCTGCGAAGTGATCGAGAATCCCCGATTAGACATTTGCTCTGCTGCGATTATGCGGGCGCCGCTCCCATTCATTCACACTGTCCTAGCAGATGGGTGAAGGAATTGCAATGGGATTCCAGAAGTGTGGCTAAATGAGTCCATCTGGAGAGGTCAGGGAAGGCTTCACAGAGGAGATGGCTTCTGAGCTCTACTTTCCAGTGTGAATAGGAGTGTGTGCCAGGGAGAAAGGGAGAGGTGTGTGTCTTTCTGCTCTTAGAGGGTGAGGCTCACGTTTTCTCAGCTCTTCCTTCCCTGGGAATCTAGCAAAGCTCCAGGCACTCAGTGCTGTGTCAGGGCTTCCCAGATGGTGTTGAGGTGAAGGGCCTGATTTAGCTTGGTTCTGATCAGGGGAGGAAGAGCCCTGGGGTTGACTGGACTCTAAGATCGAATGCTGGGACCTGCCCCTGGGTTCTCTGATGTTGTGTGGACTTCCCTGAGGAAGATGCGTGGTCCTCTAAGGCAGGAGAAGTGGTCACAGGCATACAGGTGAGATGCTCAGATGCAGAGAGGTTGCCTCCCTGAGGTCCTGGGCATGGGGAAAGTCTCCATAAAAGTAATCTTCGCAGGCTCCCAGGGGCTTTCTGATCTAAGTAAGTAAGTGGCAGAAGCAGCTCTTTATTGTCCTCCAATTGTATCATTTTAATATTTCATTTTCCCAGAGCCAAAGCTTTCTTATTATGCTAAAGCTTTTAGCCTCCAAGCCTGTCATGGTCTTTGCAGTCTTTGACAGCCACAAAATTAATACCTTATTTTTTCTAATCTCTCCCATAACATCGGGAATCTCATCATGGCATCCACCCTCCCTCTCTTGCAGGTTTGGCTCGACGTCTGGTGGGCCTGTGATGAACAGCCCCTATTTTTCCTCCAGTGGGAACGGCATAAATTTTTAGATCTCCTTCACTTCTCCCTCATCCTCCCTCAGCCCTTGGGTCAAGGCTAAGGGCTCTGGGATTCTGAATTCTACAACCGCTTGGTATAAAGTTTGGAAAGCCAAGGTTCTCACCAGGCAGACAGAAAACAGCAAGACCAGATCCATCGACCGACCAGCACTCACACACAGCACAGACCACCCCCTCGTATCCATGCTTGCTTTGCTCATCCACATATGCACCTGTATTTAGCTACACGAGTGATTTTTGTTTTTGTTGTTGTTGGTAAAATAGAAGTAAGACACTTAAATGTAGAAAGTTTGTATTTTGTGATAAAAGTATGAGCTGCTTGAAACGGAGTGTGCCTGTTTATTTTTGTTATGTTCCGTGTAATCTTCCCTGCTCATGTCCCCCACGAGACGCAGCGTTTACTTAGGACATGGAAAGAGAACCATGGCTGGAGTCCTCGGAGCTCTGCTGTCTAAACACAGGTCTCCAGGGCTTGTCAGCGTGAGGCCTTATCTCTTCTCTCCTGTGATCCACTCGCTTCTCAATATCCCACTTTATGCATCTCAGGAAGGGACATCTTAAAAGGAATGCACCCTCCTTTGTCCTGTCCCAGATGGAGGTTTTACAGAAAAAGTCCCTTTTGGACATACGATGGGAAAATGTGGCTTGGAAAACAATTTCAAAACTAATACTAAATGTGACAGTCTATATCCAATGATTGTCTATCAGCCGGAAGTCAATCCCAAAACTGCCCCTAATGGTGGTGTCCTTGGATCTATCTTGTTCAACTTTTATCAATGACTTGAATAAGGGCAATGCGGGCATCCTACTCTCATTTATGGAGAACACAAATCTGGGAAGACGAGATGGCCCGAACTGGTGACAGCACATGTTCTAGTCCCATGGCAGGCATCACTAATCAACTGTGGCATTCCGTTGCCCTGAGCCTAGACAAAGCCACAGAATCATTCTCCCTGGGGTGCTGCAGGCAGCCAGCACTGACCAGAGTGGTCTGTGAATGAAACCCATGCACCATTCTTTGGCAAATTCTAACAAGATGAAAGCAAATAGAGATTAATGTAAGGGCAAATTCTTCGGTCTAAAAAGTAGACTATGTACATACAGGATGGATTAACATTGTCCGTTTAACCTGCTCTATCACCAACCCTGCTGGTCACCTGGAAGCCAAACCCCACCCTGGCCGAGGCCAGTGGGTGCCAGTCTGGGGAACATCAGGCCCTAATCCTGACAGCAAAGAGGGGCTGGGGGTCAGGAAATCACTAATGTCTCGGGATGGGCTTAAGGCCAGTGCCAACAAAAGCATTTCTCTTGCCCTCACAATGTGACACCATTAGCCTCATTGGCCTTTCTTTCTGGGTCCCTGGAAACAAATTTCTCTCCCAAATTCCCTTAGGACTTCTGCATTCTCCCTTTCTCTGTGGTCTGAATCTGGGATTTCCCCGTAAGTCCTTCAGCCTCTTTCCCCAATGCTGGGCCCTACTTCCAGTATTTCTTGTTTCTTCTTGGTTAATAGTCTGCCCTGAAGGGCTTCCTCAGTTGTACTTCCAGCTGTTTACCCAGGATGGAGCCTATCAAGGCTCCCTTGATCGCAGCCTGTTGGGAGGCAGAGGAGTGAGAGAAAGAGCGTGGGTTGTTTGCCTTTGGCCAGATCTGGTTTCATAGCCACTTTCCAACTTTGACCCTGGATGGAGAACTTAACCTCTCTGAACCTGAGTTTTATTAATGACAAGACTTGTAACGATTAAAAGCTAATATGGACTTAATATAGACTTACTGTCTACTTAACATAGATTTGTGGTTTTAAGATGATGGAGTAAAGATGTTTCTGCCACCCTTCTCTTGACACTTATCCCCAAATAACAAGGAGAACAAGAAAGGCTATGCGAACTTCATCCTCAATGAAAATAAGAGAAGTTGGCAATCTCAACCCGCATACAAAGGCAGAATAGGGGTGGAGGAACGGTACATGTCTTAGCAGAACAGGGGAAGCCCACGTTGAAATACCTGCCAAAGAAGATAGCAACAGGAAGCAAGCCATTTTCCCTGCAGAGCCTGGAAGACCGTGGGAACGGGAGGTGCAGATGCTGGACACCATGGAAGGTGGGCCTGGTGAGAAATGAAAGCAAGGGGTTGACGTGAGAAGTAGCTGCTGTCCCAGCCGCACACAGCCAAGGGTCACGGACGGTTGCTATAGAAGACAGGAGGCATTTTCTCGGTGGAAACTTAGAGACTATGCGTAAGGACTGTGAAGACCCCAAAGCCAGCAGCTATGTGCGCTTTAACTAAGAGGCTCTGGGGTTTGGAAAGTCCTCTGTTGAGACTGAATTGCCCCAAGGCATTCGGAAGTACCAGTGAAAATTACCCTACTATTAATGCCCTTTTACAAAGTTTCCAACCAAATTTTTAGGACCCATCTCTTAATAGGAATGGATAATCTCTAACAAGAAATAAACAGATCGAAACTAAGGTGAAAAGGGAAATAAGGAAAGAGGGACAGACCATAATAGTCTAAGGGAAAGGATAGTACATTTAAAAAATAATTGCAATATACCATACACTCATTTTAAAACGTCAGGACAAGAAAGCGTTTTTGGCAGTGATAGCTGATTTAATTCTTTCAGTGAAAGAATTGGAAGTCAACATCAGAAAGCTCTCATGAAAAGAAGAATAAAAAAAGACACAGAGATGGATTATAGGAGATAAAAGACAAGAAAATGAGCAGATCAGTCCAGGACACCCAGTATCCAGCTAGCAGGAGCCCTAGGCAGCAGAGTGAAAATAAAGGGGAAATGAAAATGAAAAAAACATAAGAAAATTTCCCAGTTCGAATGATCCAAATCAGTGCTCAGCAAAATGAACAAAGAAGACCTATGTCGAAGCATATCCTTATGAAATTTCAGAATAGCAGGGATAAAGACAAGATTCCAAAATTTTCAAAACACCTGCTCACATACAAATGTTCAAGAACCAGTATGACATCAGCTTTCTCGACAGTAACATTGGCATCCAGAAGATCCTGGGACAGAGTTGTCAGAACTTTGAGTGGAAATGATTTTCAACCTGGAATCCCAAACCCAAACTCTTACCTGTGCAGGTAGAATGAAGGTGTTTTCAGGTATGCAGAGCCTCAAACAATTTACCCCCTTGCCCATTTCTCAGGAAGTTAAGGGAGGGCGTGCTCCACTAAGACAAGTGAGTAAACCAGTGAAAGAAGCCATGGAACCCAGGAAACAGGTATTCAGTGTGGGAGGGAGGCTGAGGAGATTTCCCAGGTGATGAAAAAGGAAGATCTTAGCCCAAGAGCCATGAAGCAGAGCCTTGGAGAGCCACCACCACCAGTCCAGATCGGAGCAGGAAAGTGGCAACGTCTGGAAGAGGAGGGCTGTGTCAGTGGGGGGTCTGGGAGGGCATGGAGAGAAAGATAAGGATTGATTATTCTGACAGCGTTGACTCTATGCAGAATTGTATTGAGAGTTGTTTTATAGCGGTTGGTGGGGGTGGGAAGGTTTAACTATAAATTCAAATAAAAAATGAAACAATTGTTATTAACTCGGCAGTGAATGATATTTACGTGGTCATAAAAATAAAAGCTCAAATATGGATTTTACCAAAAATGGTGCTACAACTATAGTGGGAGGATGGAGGTGGGAAGAAGGGTGTGAATAGAGATCAAATCCTCATTTATCATAGCAGGAAGTCAGAAGGTTATATCTCAAATGGATGATTCCAGAGACAGCGGAATTCATGTAACCATCTAGAAATCTGGAGGTAAACAATGTAAAAAGCCAAGAGGTCAAAAGTGTTGCCTGCGAGAAACAGGGTGGGTTTGTGGGGAATGGTGGTGTAGGGACCGCTGCCTTGCTTCTGAGTCTTAGCACTGTTTGGCTTTTAAACCATCTGCATGCACTATCTTAATAAAAATAAGCCTTTATTTAAAATAGAAAGAGGAATTGCACGTAGAACAATGTCTAGTATGATGCTTGTCACATGGCAGGTGTCAAAAATGCTTGTTGAATTGTACTGAGCTGCCTCCCGACACCGCTGGGCCCCCTGCCCACTCCCTCGTCCCAGGATGTCTGAGTATCGGATTCTCAGAAAACTTTAAGAATTTTCGTACACTATCTGGGTGATGGGTACATTTAAAAGCCCAGACTTCATCACTATAAGATATACACATGTAATGGAAGTCAACTTGTACCCCTCAAATCTATTGGAAAAAAAAGAAAAAAAGAAATTCTTGAGGAGGAAACTTAGTTAAGGGAGGTCCCAGAGCCAAAGCCCAACGACTTTTCAACGCATCATGTCCCTGACTCTGCTCACCTGTCAGGGAATTCCAGAAACAGCTGCGGAGTAATGGGAACCGGGACCCTAATTCAGGACCATGATGCCCGGATGGGATAGAAGCCCCCACTGTTCTCAGTGTTCCCTCCAGCCACCCCATTCATTCAGCACATGTTCACTGAGAACTTATTCTTACGGAGGTAGCACTGGGCAAGACAGACACAGTGCCTATCCCCAGGAATTTTTTAAGCATGGACATTAAATCATAATTACTACGAAAGGTGATGACATTATCAAAGAGACACACTGGGAGCTACGAGAGCACATATCAGGGACACCCCGACCCGGTTCAGAGGGTCAGATAAGTGACATCTGCTCTTGTCACACTCCTGGCCCCTGCATCTATTAACACTTCTCACGTGAAATGTTTTCAAGTCATATGTCCAGTCCCCTTCCCGGACATATTCTATTTGTGAATCTTAAAACTATCAATCGTCCCTGTGTGGTTTCAGCAACAAAGTTGAGGAGCAGCATTTTTTTTCTTTTTTTCGGATCCTGGAAATACTTCACGAAATAATAACAGCTACTAATCATCGAGCACTTACGGTGGAACAGGCACAGTGCTATATACATCGCCTTTGTTATCTAACGTTCATAATAACCCCGTGAGGTATATATTTATTACATACGCAGAAACTAAGGTTCAAAGT